TGAGGATAATCCTTCAATCACACCATGGAGCTGTCTTCTGTTTATTTATATCATCTACAGATCTGGAGTCTGTATGGTACATCCAAGACTCATATGGGGATTATAATGTGATTGAACATTGGCTATATATAATTTTGCTTAAACCGAAAATCACTCTGCAGAATTATGGTAGTAGAAAAGTATGTTTCAGGAATTCAAATCCAAGTAAATGACTTATACAAGCCTTTGCAGTGTAATTTCCCTATAAGTTTTTTTTTTTCAATGTCTGCATTAATTAAAGATATTAGTATGTAATTTCATGCCATTGCTTTACTTGTCATGTTCCCTAATATGCCATTTAATTTATCTATCTCCGTGAGACAAAGGCTAAATTAGTGGAGAACTGGCCCTGCTCACAGCAATTTATTAATTTAAAATATGTATTCAAAATATGTAATTAAATAATGAAAATAAAGTTTAATATAATGTGTGTTACTTGAGACAATTACAATAAATCCTTCAACTGATGTGAGAAACTCCAGACAAAGCAATAATATCACCAAGGAGACAAGTGGATAAAAAAGTTACATATGACTCTAACTCTATTTCATTTCAGTTCAAATCAAAGATAAATATTTCAAGGTTTCATTTATTTGATTTAGTGTCTGGATAGATTGTTTTCATAATGGAAAACCAAATTTGATCTAAATTAGAATTGAGCATCTGAAACTTTTTCACAACAGTTTAATTGCAGTTGCTCAGATGTTGCAACACAGTGTGAGTGTGGAGGCTTTTCTTGTGGCATTTTTCACTGTCGCACTTAACTTTTCTCTGGTGAATTTGAACCTGTTTGATAATGATTTGGTGTAGCGTCCTTTCGGTTCTGACAGTGTCACTATCAACCTCCCTGATTAATGCATTACCTCTGAGCCCCAGTGATTCATCCTCCTGGTAGCCGATGTGGAGAGGTGTGGCTGATGCAACAGTCAGGCAAAAAAATGACAAAATGAGTTTTCAGACAAGGGCAAAAAACAAAAAAACTGTGATCCCTTCTGTGCAAAAGTGTGTCAAAAGTCGCAGCATGCTCCACTGTACTGAACTCTATTCAGTCTTTAATTAAAACAGACTCGAAAAGCAATCCAGTTCTCCAAAGAATTATTAGGAAATAGCAATTAGTTACTAATGCTCATTAAGTCAAAAGCAGCTAATTGCACCACTAGAGAGAGGTTTTCAGCATCTTTTGTTAATTAAATGGTCTCAGAAGAAATGTCTCCAATCCATATAATGTATTTGTGCACACCTCAGCTCAGCCTATAGGAGACTATTAGTTTATAATGAAATTGAATGTAACCACAGAGATTACATGGCTGCTCTGGACGTATGAAATTTACAAATACAGAAAAAGCTTAGTCATAAACAACACAACAAGTTTTAATAGTTATAATAAGATTTTGTTTTGATTTTGTTAAGAAAGACTGGAAACATTTCAATTGCACTACTAGTCAAGTCTGGACTCTACTTTTCAGTCTATATATATATATATATATATATATATATATATATATATATATTTATTTATATATATATATATATATATATATATATATATATATATATATATATATATTTTTTTATATATAGTTACTACTTTTTGCACTTGATATACAAACAGAACACATCAAATACATGAAGTAAGGTATACGGGCTTATGTAGCAAAGAAAAAAATAAGTTAAATAACCCTAGTAACTTTGTTTTAATATTTTATAACCAAATCCTCAAATGACCCACCTGTTGCTTTGTCAAAAAATATTTACCGTATTTTCGGACTATGAGTCGCAGTTTTTTTCATGATTTGGGTGGTTCTGCGATTTATACTCCAGTGCAACTTATATATTAATATTTTCACACTGACAGCCATGAGAGGGTGCTCTAGGCTACTATTAGTCCTGTACCACCACGTACCACTGTCACTTCGCACCCTACTGCACATGTCTCCTGCAGAAAGAGCTTCTGTCCTGCTGCAAGTATTGAAATATGCAGCCAAAAACAGTAATCAAGCAGCAGAAAGAAAATTTGGAGTGAGCGAGAAACTTGGACTGGTGGAAAGCGGGGATGGAGAACATAGCTTCATGGTAACCGGAAGGGTGCGCCATGCAACTCTCTTGGAAATCATTGGATGGATCGACAAAGCATGGACTTCAGTGACAACCGAAACCATCCTGTCAGGATTCAGAAAGGTCGGAATAATTCTAACTGGACCTGATGCTGAGTCTGACGACAGCTACACAGAAGAAGAGGTGGCGCTTCGTTTACTTCTGGAGGTCGTGGAGTTGCTCAAAAGTGACAGAGGAAGAAGAATTCAGTGGATTTAGTGATTTAGAGTGAGATGGAGAGTTATCTGAAGAACTGTTCATATGTTACGTTAACAGCCTATTGTTTTCTGTTCTATTGTTATTACTGTAACTTGCTTTTCAAGATAAAATGTTGGTTCCTGGTCTCTGATTTTATGAAAATAAGTTTTCCCCAGAAAGTGCGACTTATACATGTTTTTTCTTCTATTTGGTTGGTGTGACTTACACTCCAGAGCGACTTACAGTCCAAAAAATACAGTAGTAGAGTTATTCAGCAATCTTAGTTTAATGAATTAAAAAGAAAATATAACTATTGTGTGAAATTATTACTAAAATATCCGTAACAAATGTCATCTCAAAATAATTCAGACTTGTTTGGCTTGAGCAGAGGGGCCAGTCTGGGTCATGTTTAGTCCAGTGTAAATCTGTGCTCCTCTGGGTGTGAGTACAGCAGGTGGTGCCCTCTCTCGCCTCTTCCATCTCTTCTCTTTTTCTCCCTCTTCCTCTCCCTCTCTCCTCCTCCTGTCTTTCTCCCTCTTTCACTCTCTTTCTCCTCCTCTCTCTCTCCCTCTCTCCATGTGAGGGGTCAAGCACCAGGGGACAGATGTAACACAGAGGTCAGCCCAGACAGAGGGTCATAAATACCGCAGACAGCCCCATCTGAACTGTGACAGCGAGAGCGCCGCCCTGCTGTAATGGATAATAAATGTCACTAGCTCCCTACAGCCAGAGATGAGCGATTGTTAAGTGCCTTCCCAAAGCAAAAAGCAGCTAAAGCCTGGAGACAAACTGACAACATCCGAGGAAACAGTTATGCTGAGAGAAGGGCTTGTTTGGTTGACCCCTCCTCCCTCTCCTCTGCTCTCTCACTCCTCTGTCGCTAAAGGCCGAGCGAGATAGAGGTGATTAATCAGGTTGTTAGCATGTGTGATGGAGAGAGGGAGAGAGAAAGGACAGAAAGGCAACACAAAAGAAAAGATACACCGTAATACAACAGAGACCGCTATTCTCCAGAGAGGCATCATTTAAAAAGTAACAGGCCCTGATCGCAATAATGTTCTCATAGCAACTATTAAATATAATGACCACTATTATGGCTGCCAGAGAGGAGCGAGCACAAAGACTGCTAAAATATAGTCTAACAGCAGAAGAAGTACATTCAAATGCAACGTGATTTCTTTAGGTAAATTAGAGACAGAATTTCCTCAGCAATGTGTTAACAAATGTGATACTTGTTTCATTTAATTCTCAGTGTTGACTAAATAGATAGAAATAATGTTGAAATAATGAATAAAGTAGAAACACAGTAGCTCAGTAGTTTGTGGTGAAACAGTGGTTGGTAGCGCGATGCCAGCTCCTGCTTGTATGTACTGTAGTAGTATCCTTGGGCAACCCGCTTTGCTTCTTACATGACCAGCCAGAACCACACACTTTGACAAAACTTTACAAAGATGAGTGGATCTAGAGCTAGTATCCTGTTAGCCAGGCCTGCGCCACCTAGTGCCTCCACTCATTTTCTGTCCAGCGACTAGGTCAGAAATCAGAATACACTAGACAGTTTGCAATCAGTGAAGAGCTGTGAAGCCACAACGTCAAACTCAAGCGCCTGTCTGGGTCCCTTTTGTGGTACAGCACAACAGTAAACAAAGCAGTCGAGATGGATGTAGACAAAGCCATACATTCTTTGTTGGCAACGATTCTCGAGATCAAGGATTTAACGCTGGCACAAAGAGAATGTTTGGTGAATTTTATCAAGGGGAAAGACGTTCCTACGGGATTTGGCACATTACATAAATTACGACCAAATAGCAGCGATTGCTTAAATAAAAAAAAAAAAGTACGAATCCTAATGCTGTGAGATAAGGCAATTTCAATGAAGTGAAACTGGCTAATGAATCAGGCAAGTATCCTATCTCCCCAATTTCAGAGGGCGTGATTGACAGGTGGATTAACCAATCAGAGAGACACATGCTTTGTTCACGTCAAAAACTGAGAAACGGTGTGGATTTTCTCAGAATCAACAATCGAAGCACCAAACTTATGTATTTCAGGTAAACGAAGTTATATATTTTGTTCTGATAGTTATGAGAATGTCTTCTACAAACTGAGAAACGGTGTGGATTTTCTCAGACTCAACAATCGAAGCACCAAACTATTATGTATTTCAGGTAAAAGAAGTTATATATTTTGTTCTGACAGTTATGAGAATGTCTTTTTCGTTTTAGAGGCAAGTTTTTTTGAGTTATTTTGTCTGGTTGAAATCCCCTCTTGATTCGAACAGAACGTAGAAGAGACTGACTGTTCAGACAAATGTATTTCCCGTGTATGATGTCTGAATGTGTGTGAATGCATGAACATTTGAATAACGTACTAAACAATGTCCTTGGCGTGACAATTAATAAATACACCGCAAATCAGAGTGCCACTACTATCCTTTTTTCTACTCCACAAGAATGCAAGCCCTCTGGTCTGATGATCCAGTGCAGCACTCCAGTATTGTTATTTTTAATGTCCTTGACCTTTTGAACCTAATGGCAAAGGTACATAAAACCAAATATGTCCAAATAATTTCCCTTGTGGATCAATAAAGTCTGTCTATGTCTAAGTCTAAATATGTGTATTACTGACAATACAACGACTAGATTCAAATGGTGTTAAAACGGACTTACTTTTGGAGACTCTGGAGCCTTTCCTCTTGACCTCTCCTCCTCCTGAACCACTGCAGCCATCTTCATCGTCACAGTCACCACTGTACCGCCCCTCCGAGTCCCCACTTCCTGTTTCGATCTGGTCCAACGTGCCCAGTTTAGGGATAGACTTGCCTTGGAGGAGCTGAAAATACATAAAATCCTCAGATAGATTTACAGAATCAACTATATTTTAAGTGCATATGACAGGTTTTGCAGATTCAAATTTAGAGATTTTTAATTTTGACTTAATTTGGTGCGATAATACCTGTTGAAAATATAAATGATAGTTTTACATCAATCAAGAAGCAGTTTAAGAAGAAAAGTTGAAAAATATATAGAAAAATGTATAGGAAATTACAGGAAGAGGAGGGTCAAACAACAATAATAGAGGAATGGTCCAGTATACAGCATAGTTGCCAGGTAACAATCATAATACTAATAATCATAATAATAATAATAATGTTGCTTAGTCTGAGGTCATGATTTCCGACCAGCAAGTCAAATTTGAAACTTAAAATGGTCAAACTGAGTAAATAAAATTTGTGCTTGCAGCCTTGAATATGTTAGTGTTTCACAGTATGTATCTTCTCTTTTCTATCTCCATTCCAGACAAAGCAATAAGCAATAAACAATGCAAGCAAAAAACTTACAGTCAGAACTGTGCATAGGCAAGCCCTGTCAGTAACTATGCATATTTAAGTATTTTCATATTTTTGAGCAATACAAACACATGTGAATATGTTTGATAAGTCCCATAGTGCAGCTTTAAGTGTTAATGATTTATATTACACACATGTTTGGAATTAACACTGGGAGACCATAAGACCACAACCTCCTGAGCCAGACAGCCTTATCTATTAAGCCTTATCAAGGAACACATTTTGAACAAAGAAGGTAATTTGACTAATGCAGAGAAGGCCAAAAAGGTGAAGAGATAATTTGATCAGATCTGTAGAAAAAGTTGGCACAAAGTGAATAAATGGAGTCTTAGTTTAAAGTGTGCTACCTGAAGACACTTAAATAAAGTGGAGAATAAGACAAAATAACTTTAAGGACGTTAAGGATGTGACTCACTGTCTGATGGATGCGCTAACAAGAAGACTTATTAAAAATGTGTTTCTCATCACATAAGGGGTAAAGTTGAACATTTCTTACAGCATATACATACACCAGTTCTCTCAGCTAGAACTAAAACTGTGAGAAATAGCAGCAAAATTGTCACTTGTTATTGGGAAAACACACATCATAAAAGGGTGTGGTGTGACCTTATTTGAGGTTTAATAATGATCCTTAATGGAAGAGTATTGTCTTTGCAACCCTTTGAAGCTTAGATGGACATTTTTTTTTTTTTTTTTTTTTTAGATTGAACCAAGAAAAGGAAGTAAGAATACATCTGACAGGTCAGAAAGTTAAAAAAAATCTCCAAACTACAACACCAGGAGGATGGCAGTGTGTACACTAGTGTGTCCACACTGTATTAAGAATTTTATCACACAATAAAATTCAAATCTGTAAACTGGACAAAAGTTTAAAAAACAATAAGTTTCACCGCTCATCCAAGTAACTTCAGTCCTGACAGGGTTCTGTAAGTCACTGCCCTAAATACACAAACTGAAACAAATCCTAGTCTCTCTGGCAGCAGGAGACTATGGACCAGTGGAGTCACTTGGTCACTGCATCCAACAGATCAGTGTGTGGATGCAAAACAACTTTCTCCAGCTAAACTCTGACAAGACTGAAGTCATAGTGTTTGGTCCACAGAAACAAAGGGACAGTGTCAGCAGTCACCTCCAGTCTCTCGCTCTAAAACCTTCAAATCAGGCAAGAAATCTAGGGGTAATAATGGACTCAGACTTGAACTTTAACAGTCACATAAAATCAATAACATCTGCAGCCTTTTACCATCTAAAAAACATAGCAAAAATCAAAGGTTTACTGTCTAAATCAGACTTAGAGAAACTTATCCATGCGTTTGTCTCCAGTAGATTAGACTACTGTAATGGTCTGCTCACTGGTCTCTCCAAACGAGCTGTGAGACGCTGCAGAACATCCAGAACGCTGCAGCTCGGGTCCTTACTCGAACTAGGAAGTACGAGCACATAAGTCCTGTGCTCAGGTCTCTGCACTGGCTTCCTGTGCCTCAGAGAATAGACTTTAAAGCAGCTCTGCTTGTGTACAAGTCTCTCCATGGCCGAGCACCAAAGTACATCTGTGACATGTTAGTGTCATATGAACCATCTCGCACTCTGAGGAGCTCAGGGACCGGCCTCCTGCTGGTGCCCAGAGTCAGAACTAAACAAGGGGAGTCAGCGTTTCAGGTTCATGCAGCTAAAACCTGGAACAGTCTTCCTGAACATGTGAGACAGACTCTTCTGTGACGCTGTTTAAATCCAGACTCAAAACATTTCTGTTTAACTGTGCATATGAACTGAAAGGTTTTCATTCCGCACTCTTCTCTCTTTTTTAATTTTAATCTTCATGATTATTTATGTTTTGATTTGTTTTTATTATGATTTTAATGTATTTCTTATTCTGTAAAGCACTTTGAATTACTTTGTGTACGAATTGTGCTATACAAATAAACTTGCCTTGCCTTGCCTTGCCTAGTTGTACTTGTAGTTGTAGATATAGACTAACTTTATTGAGGAAAATTATGTGGACACAGTGGTTCACACTTCACAATAATAATAAATTCATGAGTAAAAATAAAATACAGAAAATATAGTAATAAGTACAGTAAGGAGCAGGGCTGGGCGATATGGATCAAAAAATATATCTCGATATATTTTGCTATATCTCGATATACGATATATATCTCGATATATGTTCAAGAAAAAATGACCCCCTAAAACTGAAAACTGCAAAAACAAAACTGTCAAATTCCACAAGGTCCTTTTTTTTAATTGAAGTGTAAGAGGTTGACAATTCATATAGGAACATTTAAGATTATAAAAAACCCTTTACATAAATTACATAAATAATAATTTAACTGTAAAATAAAAGAAATAATACATATTTCCTTCTTTTCATTCATAAATAAAACAACTCAACACAAGCTCATCTTTGCATTAACTCTGTTACCCAAACCAGAACCAGAACCATGAGCTCATTTAGCAGAAGAAGCTCAGGATGTTCCTTATTTCAATAGATCCATGTTATTATCCAGCAGTAAAGAGCTCTGAGGTTTCCCACAATCCACTGCAGATCAAATCCAACGTTTCAAAACACTATTGTACAAGTGACACTGCAGCAGATTATTAATTAAAATATTCTGCATAAATAAACTTTACATTGCTAAACTTTACAATATATAAAACATAACGACTACAGAGTCACATCAGCCCGTCCATCCATCCATCCATTTTCGTCCGCTTATCCGGGTCGCGGGGGCAGCAGCCTAAGCAGGGACTCCCAGACTTCCTTCACCCCAGACACCCCAGACTCCTCCAGCTCCTCCGGGGGGACCCCGAGGCGTTCCCAGGCAAGCCGAGAGACATAGTCTCTCGAACATGGTATTCGTTATGGACAAACCGTGACTAGCACAGAAGTCCAATAACAAAACACCACTCGGGTTCAGATCGGGGAGGCCGTTCCTCCCAATCACCCCTCTCCAAGTGTCACTGTCGTTGCCCACGTGGGCGTTGAAGTCCCCCAGGAGAACAACGGAGTCCCCGGTCGATGCACTGTCTAGTACCCCTCCCAGGGACTCCAAGAAGGCCGGGTACTCAGCACTGCTGTTCGGCCCGTAGGCCGACACCACAGTGAGAGACCTGTCCCCGACCCGAAGGCGCAGGGACGCGACCCTCTCGTTCACCGGGGTGAACTCCAACACACAGCGACTGAGCTGTGGGGCAATGAGCAGGCCCACACCAGCCCGCCGCCGCTCCCCGCGGCCAACGCCAGAGAAATGGAGAGTCCAGCCCCTCTCAAGGAGTTGGGTTCCAGAGCCCAAACTGTGCGTGGAGGTGAGGCCGACTATATCTAGTCGGTAACACTCAACCTCCCGCACAAGCTCAGGCTCCTTCCCCCCCAGTGAGGTGACATTCCATGTCCCCAGAGCTAGTCTCCATGTCCGGAGATCCGGTCGCCGAGGCCCCCGGCGTCGACTGCTGCCCAGATCTCTCTGCACCGGCCCCATATGGATCCTCCTGCGGGTGGTGGGCCCACGTGAGGACGGCCCCACGTCGCTCCTTCGGGCTAAGCCCGGCCGGGCCCCGTGGGGGAAGGCCCTGCCACCAGGCGCTCGCTGACGAGCACCCACCCCAGGCCTGGCTCCAGGGTGAGGCCCCGGTGACGCCAATCCGGGCGACGTAACTGGCCTCTGTGTGTTGCTCATCATGTGGGGCTTCTGAACCGTTCTTCGTCTGACCCGTCCCCCCGGACCTGTTTGCCTTGGGTGACCCTACCAGGGGCATGAAGCCTCCGACAACCCCGGGATCATTCGGGCACTCAAACCCCTCCACCACGATAAGGTGACGGTTCAAGGAGGGGCACATCAGCCCGTTTGCGATAATAATGTGTTTAATGCAGTTTTGCACACGTGTTTACATTTTACAGAAAAGAAACTTAAGTGCATGGCTCATTTACATAAACAGTGCACTTCTCATGCAGCTCAGCTCGTTTAGCTTCTTTCGGGCTAAAGGACGTGACTCGGTGGAATATGAGGATGTGCTGCTGGTGGTTTTGTCTGTAAATGGTGGAAAAGGTTCGTGGTGCTTGAAGCTTTTCACTGGCACCAACTTTCGGCGTTCACGGTGATAGTGAGAAGTGAATGAGACACGAGCGAACACAATCAGGGAGGCAGGGGCGCCCGGGGGCGACGAGAGAGAAGGTAAACAAGCGAAGCGGCGAAATCAGAATTGAATATAAGCATTATATCGATATATATACAATATGTCAGAATTCATATCGAGTTTAAAAACTATCTCAATATATTTAAAATATAGATATATCGCCCACCCCTAGTAAGGAGTATCTGTAATGAAGTCCATTTAACTACCCTAAGGTGAGAAGTGTTAGCTAGGCTGGCGCCACCTAGAGCCTCTGCTCAATTTCTTTTCTCTCCAGCGACTAGGTCAGGAATCGGAATACACTAGACGGTTTGCAAGCACCCCGGAAGTTGTAGACCGCACACTGACTAAT